AAATCTGAGAGTTACCTGGGACACTATGAAGTTAAATGATCATCAGGCCAGTATATGTCAGACACAGGACACAGGGCTACAGGTTTTTGGTTTTTATTCCCAGTACTTCATGACAGGCACTCAAAAAAGCTTAGAGGTTGAAATGCACCAAATTCCTGTCTCCAAGCCTGCCCTTCTATCCAGTATATAATATTCCTTCTAACCTTGAACACGATGGGTATACAATAAAAGCTTATTAGATTGGACTGCCTTGAACTGGCATAAATTAAATTGGTTAAGTTACTTAAAAAAACTTCTTAAAAGTGACTTAAAAGTCTTACTGAGACTGTATGGACATATTCAATTCCCACCCTAGGATTTGGAATCAGCTCGGTCATTTTCTCAGAAAAAAATCAACTGGTGCCCACAAAGTGTCAGTCTGCTAGAAACCCCTGTGCTAAGGGGTGTGTGTGTGTGTGTGTGTGTGTGTGTGTGTGTGTGTGTGTGTGTGTGTGTGTGTGTAGGGAAGGAAGTACTGGCTTTCTTTAATTGTGTTTTCCACACAGAACATATGCTGATGGCAGGACATATAGAGGAAGAAAGCAAGGAAGGAAGGAAAAAGAGAGAGGAAGGAAATAAGTATTTATTAAGCACTTACTATGTGCCAGGCACTGTGCTATGCACTTTTATAAATATTATCTCATTAGATCCTCACAACAATCCTGGGAGGTGGGTGCTATTATTATTCTCATTTTATAGTTGAGGAAACTGAGGCAGACAGAGATGAAGTGATTCAGGGTCTGAAGCTTAGTAAGTATCCAAGACCAAGCTAATTCCAGGTCTGGCACTTTATACACTGCAGCTTCCTCCAAGTGGAGATTTACAAGAATCCCCCTAGATGTTCCTGATTAAAGGTTGTATGTCTCAGCACTGGGACCTTTCTGGGTGTGTTGATTTTCCATTTCCTGTCCTATAACTGTGTCTGCTCCCCTGACACAGGGAATTTCAAGAAATCTGAGACTTTAATTCAATTCAACTCAATTCAATTCAATATAAGAAACACTTATTTAGCACCAACAATAAGCAAGACACTTAGGGGCAGGCACAGGACCAAATGAAAAGATAAAAACAGACAGATGCTGACTCTGTCTTCAAGAAATTTAGAGAAACTTCTCTTATGAATTAGATTTTATTTTTGTCACATACCACATACACACAGACACACACCAAGTTCCAGGGAACAGAACCCATCTACACACCAATAATGACAACCGCAACAAAAATCCTTGCAGACACATTTGTCTTTCAAGATTTCTAAAGATAGTTTTTCTATTAACAGGAAAACCCCACAAGGCCGAAAGGTAACACCTGCTTCTGGAAAATAAAATGCTGGGTTTCTTATATTAAATTTACTCAGACATCTAATTCACATTAAAATGCATTCAATTCCCTGATCCCCTCAGGTAGGGTTTTGAATGCCAACTGACATGGGCAAGAGTATCACTGCATCACAATTTGATATGAAATCCCTCTCTGAGTGTCAGCTCACACTATATCATTTAATTAGATAACGACACATAAAATGCTGAAGTACAAAAAAGCCAGAACTTGAAGCAGGAAATGTCACATGGTGGGTATATTGGATGGTGAAATGAGAAGTGGCAAATGGACCTCATAATAACAAACTGCATTCACTGTGTCAACAAATGCTATGCCACTGGTGATCTTGAAATGTGGGAGGAAGAAGCTTCCAATGATGAATGAGGAAACATGTAAAACTGGAATTACAAAGAGAAAATGTGACCACAGCTGAAAGATCAATCAGTCTTGAGCTTGGAAAAAGACAATATTCTCCATGAATGCAACAGCAAGTCATAACCATGAAAAGATTTCCATTTATGCATGAAATTGAATCAATGACCCATTCTTCTAGGATCAGCAAGTTATGTAGTGTTTTAAGGACAAGAAGGGAATGGGATATACTTTTATTGACTATAGCTTCCATTGGAGTTAAAGTTTGGAAACTTTAAATTATTACTATAGGATTATTTTTTTTCAACTCAATCAGTTGATTTGGGGTTGTGCTAATACATTCTGGGGGTCCTTGAACTAAGAAAAGCATAATTAAATTTTGTGAGTAGAAAACTTTTGAGCAAATATTACCTTCTCAAATGGGTAACAGAGCAGGACTTCCACGTGTCATTAAGCAATAAAGCGTTAAAAGGTTCTGAACAAGAAGATCTCTCTTTTTTGGAGGGCTAGGGGAAGGAAAGTTTTAGAGAAAAAAAGTTGAAGGGAGAAAGTTCTTTGTGCCTGACTGGACAAGGAACCTAAGATATAAACAAACAATGAAACACCAAGAAAAAAAAAAACAATCAAAAATGAGTCTTGTCCAAGCAGCTACTTTAATGAATACAAGTAAGAAACTTCCAAAGAAGAATCTATCAGAATCTGAATGAGTCAGCCCTCTCAGGTTCTGCCTTTACTCAGGCTGAATGAGTGATATTCAGCTAGGGAGAGGAATGAGATTTGCCTTTCTTCTGTCTGTGAATGAGGAAGCTGAAGACAGGACACTTACAAAACCAGCATCCATCTCTAAATAAGCAATATAATTTTACTTCTCATTTAGGCAGGATTTTAATGTGCTAATTAAAGATAAATCATCTGTCATATAAAGCAAGTACGTCTGTTAGATGACAGTATTGATGCAATTTGGCGATGGTTACTAAATCTACATAAAATTAATAAAGTCAAAAAATCCCTTTTCAAATATTATATTAATAAATATTTTCTATTATTCAGACAAAATATCCCTACCAGTAGGCCAAACTGATGATGGCTAATGTTTCTCCGTCTCTCTCTTTAGTTGAAAAAAAGAAATAATAAAAATTAGCGACAACTCTCCATAGGCTAACTTTTTAAGTGACAGGAGTAAGAAAGCACAACAGTATATATGCTAATAACAGTTCAGACACATATTCTATAAGCCAATCTCTTCATTAAAAATGATGGCAGCCTAGAGTAAGCAAGATTCTCCTATCTAGACATGTAGCAGCATTTTGTGAGAGTCACAAATAAATAAGTGAATAGATAAATGAATTAATGAATACAGAAATAGGTAAAAGATTCTTTAGGACCTATTGATCAACTGATCCATGGTTGTCACCATGTTTCTAAGCAATGGTTGTTACTATGAATAGTTGCAGATGAAATCCAAGAAGCCCCATAATGAGAACATTTTCCAAATGAGTTTTCAGATTCTGTGGATATAAAACTAATTACACAATGTAACATTTCCTCAATTAAATCTTATTAAAATTGCAAATGACAGACACTTAAAAGAAATCATTTGACAAGGAATATTAGCAGATTGACCAACAGAGCTCCCTAAAATTTAAGGTCAAAGTCAGTTTTAATTTCAAGCCTTGCAGCCATTCTGGCAGACTCTTGACAAAACAAATGTGTCTAATCTAGTGACTGAAGACGGATGTACTACTTAGAATAGCCGAATGATGTGTGAGCTCATCACTGTGGGAAATGCCTTCAATGGGAACTTCCTCCACCCAGCAGATCTCACCCCTAATGTCTAGTGGAATGGCTTCCTATGGATCACAAAGGCCTTAAGAGTCACAGGCAGGATTTGGCTGACTTCAAGCCAATGACTCCAGTCCTTGTTCCATCAAGAATACAGTTTGGAAAATGTCCCATCTGTTCATTTTTTTCCTCCACTCAAAATAATTTAATTTTACTAAACTAAGCATGAATCTGGAAACAACTTTGTTATACTTAATCATTATTTATTGGATAGATCAGCAAGCTAATGGAGTTATTAAAGAACAGGCAAGAATAACCACACTATATTTAGGGAGAGAAAAGGAAGGAGAACACCTGGAAATCTGTTTTCTTAAGAACTATTCCAACACAAAGAAAAGGTTAAGTAACATTTTCCCAAACTTTTTTTTGATACAGTAACGACTTTTATTATTATGCACCTAATAGAACAGGTTTCCCCTGTTAAGTAATATTTAGGTAACAGTGTTCATTCTAAAAAGCTACCTGTGAATCAGAGTTCTGAAACTCAGGTTACTTGATCCTGTTGACCTTTGATCTAAATTGAATCCTCTCCCTTCTGCTTCTCATTATACCCAAACTCTTTGTCTCATTCCCCATCACCACCAGTCTGCCTTTCAAGGAGTTACAGATCTGTGGGAATTGCTGCCCTGAGTCCTTCTATAAAGTGAATCACCACCACTTCATGTAGCTCTTTAAAAGAAACACTTTTGCAAAGGGATTTGTGGAAGGTGTTGTTCACCGGGCCAGCATGACAGTCTTCTCCATCAGTACTCGGCTTTGTTCTGGGTATTCTTTCTTCAAAGAAATGAAAGAAAGGTAGCAATTCTAAAATTCTAAGATTTGTTATTGGTTTTGTTATGGTTCTTCTTTCTAATGTATCAAGGGATGAAAAGATTCTGCAAGTTTCTGTCCTCTATTTTGCAAAACAGTGTCTCCCACTTGTCTGCTTTCTGCTGCCCAAAAGAGTTTCAAGGCTACCTGGTAACAAAGACCTGCTGCTCAGTCACATTACCTAGATGGTTTCTATGTTATCATCCAATTCAATCCCACTGCCCTAATCATATGATTAAAAATATCAAAAAGCGGCCATTGCTTCTTTTTTTTGCATGAAGAATATAGAAGTTTATACTAAAATATAAAAGTAGTGTGGAAACTCTTTTGATTATTTGGCTGCAAACATCTATGGTACTCAACATATGTCAAGCCCCTCATTAAGTCACCTGTATCTTCCCCAGGACTACTCAGTTATTGGAAATTATTGTATATTCAACTTACAATCAGCCAGCCACAATATCTAAATAGTGTTTCACCTCCTTTGAAATTGTTTCCCAACAAATGAATGAGAAACTGGAACTGTTCCCTGGAATACACTTCAGTCCAGGTGCTGGCTGATAAGATGCAAAAAAACCACATTTGAATATCACAAGAGCTGGCAGCATGGCCCCTACCTTCCATGACGTACACCAGGGAGCCCACGTCGCCTTCTTTGATGATGCAGCTGTCTTTGCCATACTCCACGGGATACATACAATCCACAATTTCCTGGATCTGAGACAGTTCTAGGTTCTTCATGAAGTCATTATCAAGGATAGCTTCCTTGATAAGATCCTTGGACCTGTGGTACAGAAAGAGGAGACTTATGAGTGTGGTCAACCACTGCTTTTATGCATGGCCAGTGAAGCTGAGCAGCTTCAAATAGCACCGTGTAGTGCTTTGTCTGATTAGACATCTAGTGAGTTTCCCAAAAACTTACAGAAAAATTATTCCAGGATACTAGGAAATATATCAAGCAAGCAAGCATTTATTAAACACCTACTATGTAACACTGAAAGCATTATGATCGATTTTCTTTCCAGTTATGTGACATGAACCACAAATATGAGTATTCAGTTCATAATGGACTAACATTTACTTTTAAAGGTTTTTTTTAACTCTATAGATATGAATTACTAAATAGAATTCTGAACAAAAGTAGATTAAGATTATATAGGCTAAGTTCTTATCATAAAATAATACATTTCACATTACAAGAATTAGGATCAGGGTTCTAAGTCCTCAAGTCCAAGCTCCTCATTAGGGGAAACTGAGGCCAAGAGAGATTAAGTAATTCATCCCAGGTCATACAACAACTGTCAGAAGTGTGATGTGAACCCAAGTTTTCCTGACTCTCTGACTCCAAAGTCTTTTCTTTCATTGGTGAGTTATTTCCAGGGCTTGCATTTTGGGGGAAAGACCTAGGCTAACCAAACTTCATTTCCCTCCTATCTATGCTGAACTTTGCCATCATTATAACAAAAGGGTACTTTCATTCCCAATTCCCCTCCACCCTGATTTTTTCAGCTCCCTTTAATGTGTTATCTATCCCCATGAGAATGTAAGTTCATGGAGGAAAGGGGTTGCCTTTCTTTTTACTTTTATTTGTAACCTCAGCACTTAGCACAGTGCCTAGCACACAGTAAGTGATTAATAAATGCATGTTGCCTACTGCCTGCCCCTCTGCCTACGCCATGCTGTCTCTCAAAATTTCTCTCACAATGTTCATCAGTTTTTCAATCTTAAAATGAAAGGAATTGACCAAAATGGCCCCCGGGTCCCTTCAAAGTCCTGATCTATGATCCTACAATCCTATGACCACGTTAAAAATCAACATAGAATCAGATGACTACGGCATACCATTCTGTAGCATAGAAAAATGTATGTGTTGCCTTTACAGTTTCAAATAACGAGGAAACATGGGACATAGCTTCAACTATATAAATTCAACAATTTTCCCCCTAAGCATCTACCATGTATATCACTAATAGTAGTCTGACACTAAATAGGTCATCTAGTAAGATACCACACTCACCTTGGGACCATTTAGATCTCAGGATTTATTGGGCTGGGCAATGGAAGGTAGTTATGTGCAAAGTTAAATCTAGTATTTCTTGCTCCCTGAATACAGGATATGAAATGTACCCGAGGTAAGCAATGTAATAAAGACCCTCAAGTCAACTTCTTAAAGACAAATTCTGTTGAAGGAAAAGGCAGTGTCTCAAAATACAGGAAACAAGACTCAATTGAGAGAATAGCCCAGGCTGGAGGGAGGGGTATCCCCAGGACACTGACCCAATGAGGAACCCAGAGTGCCTAAGGCAGCATGTCTAGAAGCTGCCTAGTTTAACTATCTCTTCTTTCTAGCTAGGCATTACACAAAATTGCTTCTATCAGCTTATGGATTCTAAAGTACCAACAACAGCATCTAAATTACAGAAATGATGAAGGGGGTGTCCAGTCAACTGATCCAAATTAATAGCCCTCAAAATAAACATGTTACCCACATTCAATAATTAATAGGAAACTTGATTTAAAGGGATTGTATGAAGAGGGGTAATTAGTATGAAGAGGAGTAATTAGGAAATTGAGATAAGAACCACCTAAGTTTGCATCTTGCCTAAATGTCCATACAGAGATGTGCACAAGTGCCCAAAGTAGCTTCTCCAACTAGCTTCAATAGTTTACCCCCAAGGATGTAAAATTGCCTGTGCCAAAAGTGACAATAAAGTGGGACTCACTTTGTTAGAAGAGAGGTCAAGGAGAAAAGACTTAGTATCTAAACACAAGAATGAGAGGGCATCACCCAACCCAAAATTCAAAGGTAATAAGTTGAAACTTCAGACCAAGAGTCTCTAACAAAAGAGAATTTATTTGAATCCAACTGCCAGGATGTAATGTTTGCCTAGGGCTGCTTCAGAGAAATTATGGCAACCCTGGAAGCCAGCCATAGATAACACACTGGTCCCAGAAGTATTGGATCTTGCCCAAGGGGGCTGCTTCAGATCATTTATCCCTAATAAAGGTGTTAAACCTCTACTGACTGAGCCTAGAACCAACAGGTACTAGTTATTGGCATCCATGTCTTCACTTAAATGTTTATTGAAATGAATTGAATTGAATTCTGAACAAAGCAGTATGAAAAAGTAACCCCTGGTAAGAGCAGCTATCAAAAGCTAAATTTTGACTGGCACACACACACACACACAGAGCACACATGTTCCCTTCTTCCTCCACCCTCATCCCATTCAGAAAACAAAGTTTTTCAATGCAAGCAATAACTGTAGCTATGTTTAATAACTGGGTCCTTAATATCAGTTGTTCAATCCAATAGTGATAATAACAGATATTAAAATCATGTATAATAATAGATTAAGGGCTGATGACTAAGTCTGATTTCATTGATATGCAAGTCTCTGCAAATTAAAGTCTTAGAGAATTTCCTAGAACACTTTGAAGTAAAGGGACATACGCGCAGTCAGTATTTGTCAAAGTCAGAACTTGAACTCAGGCCCCCAGAGTGGTTCTCTATCTACTACATCATAGAGCCTCTCAACAATAGATTAATAAAAAGTATTAAAAGCAATAGAGGCTGCCTCAGAGGGTGATGGGTCACCTCACTTAAGGTCCTTAAGCAGAAGCTGTAAGGCTGGTTAAGATGGGAACTTCTTTGGGGTATGGCTGGACTCAAAGGTCCCGAAGGTCCTTTTCAATTCTCAGATCTATGGCTTCTCATTTATATAACACGTTTGGACTCACAAAGTGCTTTTTTTCACAAAAACTCACGTAAATAGCTCGATGGCTCAGTGGAACGAACAGGGGATCTGGTACCAAGAAGACCTGAATTCAAAGCCCACCTCATTCACTTATCAGCTGCATGAACCTGAGAAGGTTACTTAACCTCTGTCGACCTCAGTTTCTTCATCTGTGTCATAGTGGTAATGAAAACACCTGTTCACAAGATTGTTATGAGGGTCACACGAAACAATATATTGTAAAGGGATTTACAAACCTTAAATATATGTTCATTATTCCCCTCTTTACAGATGAAGAAACTATAGTCTGGACCCAGTAAGTGACTTGCTTAGATCAATACACTCAAAAGTGTCAGAGTCAAGAGTTGCACTCATGTCTTCTGACTCCAAAACCAGGGTTCCTTCCTCTCCACCTTGTGGCCTGGAAATCAGTCGAGTTTCTCAGTTCCTGATTCTTTGCCTTTCTACCAGTCCCCAGACATTTGGAGGGAGTCATATGAACCAAGGGCCAAACCCAATGGCCTTACTGCCCATGGTGCCCGGATACAGAGGTCTGAGTCTATGGAAGGCCATCAGCCTTGGTAAGAATATTACTGGGGCAGGAAGAAGGAGATCTGGGGTCAAGTCTTGATTCTTTTCTGTAATAGTTGAGTGATGTTACATAGGTCACTTAGCCTTTGTGGGCCTCATCTGTAATATGGGGGAAGGGGGTTGGACTGGATGATCTTCAAGGTTCCTTACACCTCTAGGTCTAACATCCCATGGCTATATAACCTCATCCTTGGGCTATTGCCAGAATCTGGTTGGCCTCCCTGCCTCATATCCTTCTAGGCTCTTTTCAATACATCCTCTATTCAGTAGCAAAGTGACATTCCTAAAGCACATGTCTGACCACATCATCTCCCTACTTGGCAGGGAACTCCAGTGGCCACCTATGATCTCCCACACCAAATAGAACATACTGTATTTATCTCTGGAGCAGCTATGTGGTACAGTGGCCAGAGCACAGGGCCTGGAGTCAGGAGGAACCTAAGATCAAATCCAGCCTCAGACACTTACTAGCTGTGTAATCCTGGGCAAGTCACTATACCTTGTCTGCCTCGGTTTCCTCATCTGTGAAATGAGTGAGTCACTTCACCATAGGATCTACCCTTGGTACAGATGAGAATGCTGAACTATTTTGGAAATGGTTATGAACCATTTCCTTCTAAAACTTTTTGGGACTCTCTTTCATTTATCCCAAGTCAGAGTGTATCTAGAGTTGAAATGGAGATAATCAAAGAATTAGCAGGTATAGAACGATTCCTTGAGATGGCTCAATGGATAGAGCATTGGGCCTGGAATCAGGAAGACCTGAGTTCAAATCCATCCTCAGACACTTAATAGCTATGTGACCCTGGACAAGTTATTTAACCTCTATTTGCCTTAATCCACTAAAATGAAAAACCACTCCAATATCTTTGCCAAGAAAAGCCCAAGGACAGTATGGTCCATGGGATCATGAAGAGTCAGACATGACTGAACAACAACAGATGAATTCCTTGGTTGACTCCCTGATTTACAGCAGATGGGCATTGTTATGGATATGGCGTTAGCCTTAGAGGCAAGAATTTCACCTCAGACGCTTACTTAGCTGGGTTATCCCTAGGCAAGGCACTTAACAACACTCAGTTTTCCCAGCTATAAAATAGGAATGACAACATCTCCCTCACAGTGCTGTTGTGAAGATCAAATGAGATCATATCTGTAAAGGGCTCCATGAGCCTTGAAGTGTCATATAATAATAGTTGTTTCAATTATTACTTTAAAATTGGGATGGCGCTTTGCTCACACTATCCTTTGCAAAAAACAAAGCAAAACCATCACCCATGAGAACTATCCATCCTGTCTCTCCATTAGACAAATGTTGCCAAGTTACTCTGGCCAAGATTTGCCATCCATGCCAATCAGTGGCTATCACCCAAGGGTTTATTAGAGTTCCCCTCCAAATAGTTAATCTCCTCAAAAACACCAGATTACAAGAGATCCCAATGGGAGGCTCAGAGCT